GATTTTCTTCTTATAAGTGTAAAAAATAAAATCAAAGACAAAGAAAAAACAATAGAAAAGTTTTTTTTCACCAGGGTGACCCCTACACCTGTAACATTTTAAAAACAGTACCACTTTACAACGAGGCTCACCTTATAGGTGGCTTTAAAGAGTTTATAGATAGGTTATTAATTCATCTGTACACTTTATAATTTATTAATAAGTGTTTATTATGCAATAATTAAGGTTAAAAAAGACTAAACTGGTTTATTAAATACTGAACTAAGTCTGTTTGTGTATTAAACATTTCACACTACTTTACTACCTTGTAGCACAATAATGATTAGTTTTAATAACCTATCTATAAACTCTTTATTAGCCGGTACATAAAAAATGTTGCAGAGTAAATTCTCACCAGTTTTTCATACATTTTACTGAACATAGATACAATAACCTCAAACACAACATGTGATAAAATCCAACCATCATTTATCAGATGAAAAACTTTTTTTTCAGGATTCAAGTTTTCTTAAGAAGAGAAGAAGAATTCTGTGAACTTGATTCATTCTGGACTTTATTATTTGACTCATTAACTCAACTAGTGTTTGAACTGATCATCACTCCCAGGTAAAGGACAGGTGAGTGACAGGACAGGGGCACTCAGGGGGCCAATCAGATTTCAGCTGGGGCCAGTGCCCCTGTGGCCCCGCCCCTGCACCATGTGTCCAGAAACCCTCTGGACACATGCTTGAGATGACTGAGACATGAGCCACTAAAAACACACTAAATCACAGGAAAATACATCATTTTACTAAAGAAGTCATCAGAACACACCCCTGTTCTCCTAATAAACTAGATGTGTAACAATCTGTGGTAAACACAAGAAGTTCCCTCTGGGGCTGTGAAATTAATCAAGTTAACTCTGATTAATTTTAGTGCTGCATGGGCACAGATTAAAATTTACTACTTTACTCTGAATCTGTAGGTTTGTATATTACAATGCACTCAGTGCATCATGTCAGCTCATGTTTGTAAATGAGAAGTGGTTCTCAAACAGTTTACCTGATAAATAAAGGTTCAATAAATAAAAATAAACTCCATGTGTCACACATTATATACAGTTTTTTTATTTTTGTCTTCTTATGGCTTATTTTATTTTATTTATTTATGTTTTACTGACAGCTGTGACCTTAGTATGTATCTTTCATTCCTCATGTAGTACTGTAGTAGTAGTATGTATCTMTCATTRCTCATGTAGTACTGTAGTAGTAGTATGTATCTTTCATTCCTCATGTAGTACTGTAGTAGTAGTATGTATCTGTCATTCCTCATGTAGTACTGTAGTAGTAGTATGTATCTTTCATTCCTCATGTAGTACTGTAGTAGTAGTAGTATGTATCTTTCATTCCTCATGTAGTACTGTAGTAGTAGTATGTATCTTTCATTCCTCATGTAGTACTGTAGTAGTAGTATGTATCTT